AATGCCAACACTTTGGCCAATCTCGGTAACTTACCAAAGCAATGTTTTCCAGATGACCAAGCCACGGTGTTACAAAACCATGAGTAAGTAAACCTATTCGAACACAGGATGGATCAATAGATTCTATATGCAGTAGTAGATATGGGCAGAATGCCAACGGCCTCAGAGTCTCCATCACTAACCTTCAGGAAACCACCATTGTTGGAGCTGCACAGCCGGCTCAGGGGCGAAGAGCACTTGAGGGTCTTGCAGAGGACCCAGGTTCAAGTGCCAGCACCCAAGGCAGGCAGCTCACAACCTGTAATTCTAGCTCCCGAAGATCCAATGCCCTCTCTTGACCTCTGAAGACATCTCCTCTCACAACCACATACCTACACACAATATACAGACATATACGCATAACTAAAAATAAAATCTTTTTCAAAAGGAAAACTGTCCCCCATACAAGGCTAAAGAAACATACTTACAATTATCTGAACAAGCTATTAAGATGCATCTCCCTTTTCCAATGACACATCTTTGTTTGGCTAGTCTCCACACAAAACAATGTCTGACAGACTGAATGCAAACACTCATATAATATTCTAGCTGTCTCCCATTCATATAGATTTAAAAACATGTTCATTTCGTCACTGTTACTCATTTTTGTTAGAGATGGAATATGACTTTTTCATAAAAATACTTATGTTAATACATAATAGGCTTACTGCTATCTTAAATAAATCAAGGAATTATTTTATTCTGCTTTAAGAACAGATTCTTAAAATTGGGGCTTCCCCCCACAGGGGAAAGTATACTTCAAACTAAGGGCCTTGACCGTACTAAGCAAGGGTGCTCAAACTAAGGTTTAGTCTTATCGGTTTTAATTTCTAATTCTGTCAAGTATCAACATATAAAACCCACACAAATAAAAGCTCTTTGAGGACCTCCGTAGTGAGATATTTACTTTGCCTGCACCTGTTGCATTGATCACACCCATTGGGGTGGGGACAGGTATGGACGTGACCTGGGAGATCTAGGTCTGGGGTCCCAGACCCCAGCACTCTCTTGCTTCCTGGTCAGAGACAGAGAGCATCTGGAAGCATCCCATCCTTGGGACGGGAACCTGCTGGTGGTCATCTGTCTCTGTTGTTTAAGTGATTCTCTCTGAATAAACATCTATCAGCCTATCTGTTTTCCCTGATCCTTATTTTTCCATGATATCTGGTGTAGAAGTGGGATCTAGATTTCCATGGGATCTGGGGAATTAGGTCTTACCCAGGCAGTGGCACATCTGTCGCGCCACATCTGCCATGCCACTTTCTTATCTCACTACAGACCTCAATAATTCCAAGAAGCAGGAGGGGGTCCTGAGAGTTCCTGCTATACAACCAACTACCTGTATATAAGAAACTTAGAAGGAACTAAAAGGGTCACTGAGACATAATCAGCAATATCCAGGAATCTGGCCACATGTAAGGAACAACCACTGGTTATCCAGACAGTATCACAAAGTGTGTGGGAATGAGGGGCTGTGAATGAAGAGGCAGCAACTGTGATAGCCAATCTTGGTTGTCAACCTGACTACATCTGGAATTAACTAAACCCAGGCAACTGGGTACACCTATGAGGGACTTTTCTTGGATTATTAGAGGCAGAAGACCATATCTTCTGGTGGCGTAGAAGGAGGGAGCTTTTGGTTTTAGCTGCTTACCCTTTCAGTCTTGCTAAAAAGTCCATCTATCCCATTGCTGAGTGTCATAATCTACTTTTTCAATCTTTCAACATAGACTGAAAACCAGTAGCTCTCTAGGACCTCCCTAGGACTCCAGCACCAGATTGTCACTGCTGAGGAATCCAGTCTCATGGACTGGACTACCAGATTCCTGGCCTTTCTGTCAGGAGACAACCACTGTTGTACTACTCAGACCACTGCCTGTAAGCCACTTTAATTTAAAAAAAGGGGGGGGGGGATGGATGTATATATGTGTATCTTATATCTTATGTATATATGTGTATATTATATCTTATATAAGAAATATACATATTATATGATATGTATAATCCAATCAAGGAAATCCCTCAGAGCTACCTGGTTTTAGTTAATCCCAAATATATGCACACTCTACATTTGCATGTATTATATGCATATATAATGTATATGTATACACACACACACACAGTCTCTCATTCTATCAGATCTGTTTCTTTACAGAACATCAACCAATTGCCACATAAGAATCTTATTAGTGGGCTGGAGAGAAGGTCAGTGGTTAAGAGCACTGGATGTTCTTCCATAAGACCTGTGTTCAATAACCAGCACCCATATGGCAGCTCACATCTGTCTGTAACTCCAGTTCTAGGGGACCCCTCACATCAATGCACATAAAATTAAATTAAATTAAATATTCAAAAAAAGAGAATCTTGTTAGGATTCTAAAGTAAACTTTGAAAGGTATGATTGGAGAAAACTAAATAGTAATGAGTACTTATATTAGACAATTATTTTTAATCTTTATTATATAATACCAAGGCATTAAAGGTAGTCTTCACTTCACTGTTAGTTTTATTTCAACATTCTAATTCCACCTTCTTCCATTACTCAAATATGAAACACCCTTAAAAGAGAATTTTAAAGAACAAATTTTCAGGGGACTGGAGAAATAGCTTAGCAGTTAAGAGTATATACCGCTCTTGCAGACAATCTGAGTTCACTTCCCAGCACCCACAGTAGATCACAACTGCCTGTAATTCCAATTCCAGGGTATCTGGTACCCTGTTCTTGCCTCTGTACTATGTGTACATGTACTCGTGTGCACACAATCTCATACAGATCTGCATATAAACACATAATCAAACTAAAAGTTAAACTTTTTTTTAAAAAAAAAAATGAATTTTCAGGCTGGCAAGAAGGTTCAGTGGGTAAAGGTACTTGCCACCAACCCTATGCACTTGAACTGGTTCCCCAGTACATACACGGTGGATGGAGAGAACTCATACCCGTAAACTGCCCAATAACCTCCACATGCATGCTATGGTGTGTGTGTATATGTGTAGCCTCAAAGAATTCTCTTGGCATTCTGAGGGCAAAAACAGAAATTCGTATCACAACAGGTTGGCTCACTCTTATTGGATTTGGAGTATCTCTACATTCGAGATAGGTCAGACTACCAGTAAAAAAGAGTGAAGCTGGCCAGGTACGGCAGAGAACTGGAGAAGTCATGCTCAAACAGGGCAGCTGCTTCTGAACCCAAATAACCATTGTCCAGTAGTAATAAGCTTAGCATTGCGGTCAGATCTTCCAAGTTTCCCAGCCAAGTTAGAAATATAGCATTTTATGTAAAATCAAGTTTTAAACACGGGCAACTGAATTTTAGTTTGTTTTTGTTCTGTTGTTGTTGTTTTGTTTTTTATTTGTTTGTTTTTTGTTTTTGCTTTGTTTTTTGAGACAGGGTTTCTCTGTGTGGCTTTAGCTGTCCTGGAACTTACTCTGTAGACCAGGTTGGCCTCAAATTCACAGATCCACCTGCTTCTGCCTCCTGAGTACTAAGATTAAAGGCGTGTGTCGCTACCAGCTTATAAGTTTCCATTTTTTAATACTGACCAGGACACACAGAAGAGTCTAGAAGCCTTTGGATTAGAATACAGTCTTGTTGAAGTACAGACTAGACAGACCCTCTCGGGGTCCAACTCCTTCTAGCCAGCACCTTCCTCCAGTAAGTGCTCTCTGAAGAGTACTGGAACCCTCTGCAGAACAGCTTGCCTGTCAAACCAAGCTCTTTTTGCTAATGACTCAGCTTGAGAAAACCAGGGCAAGGATAAAGGAGCTCTTCATATACTGGGACTACTGACCTAAGATCCGTGATAGCATTTGAGTGACTGCAATCTCAAGATTACTATTTCTATGGCATCTAAAACATGAAAACCCAGACAGGAACACAGACTCAAGGGCCTGCTTACAGGGTTCCTTAAAGAGCAACTAACTAAGAAAGCCAATCTTTACAACTACACTGAAGACAACTCCACGGGTAACATGAAGGAGCAAGTGGCCCATTTCAAAGCTTGTGAGTCTACTCTGCCTCACGATAGCAGGCAGAGTACTGTAAGAAGCATCCAACATTAATGCACAAGGAAAGACAGAGGGCAAAGACCAAGAACAGCAGCAGGTGCACCCCTAATTGTGGTCTCCTTTGTACAGTAGATTAAAAAACACCGCACCCAATGTTCCTCCTGCTCTGTGTAACACAGGGACCCAGAATATAAGTTCCAAATTACAAAGTGGACTAAGCGCCTCTAGTAGAAGGTTTCCCCATGCACTCAAGAGGAAAAGCGAAAGTCCTAATCTGACCATTAGGCAGTAAGTTGATGGGAGAGGTCAACTAGACCTGGCGGCGGGAGGAAAAACCGTACTCGTTACAGTAAGTACCATCTGGCTCTCCAACCTCCTCATCTCATTCCCACTACATACTCTCCGACATCACTCCCTGTGCACACTTCTTCACTGTTCTGCAAATGCTGCAAGGTCCTTGCATTGGCCACTCTCACCGCCTGAAAAGCTGTCCCTCTGGATATTTGCAAAGTTCATATCCTCATTCTCTTACCTAGATTCTATTTTTCCTTCAATATGCTATTTTTAAAAGGTACACATACACACACACACACACACACACACACACACACACACACACCCTTCTCTTCCCTAACTGCCCCTTCACTTTCCATTTTCTACACTACCACCACCTGACACACTAAATGCTTCACCACTTATATTCCTTCTTCTAGAAAGAAATCTCCATGAGGAATGGCTTTCACCTACCTGTTTACTTCTATAGGCCTCTGTAATGGTGTCAAGAACATGATGGTACTCAAAAACTAGGACTCAGTAAATGACCACACAGACTATCCAAAAAAGCAGTAACAGGAGGCCCACACTTGGTAAGAAAATGTGCAAGTGCTCAGGTACTGTCAGGAAGGTGACTGGACTGGTGTCCAGCACTGTGAATCCCTTCCCCACTACTCACAAACTCATAGTCTCCATCCTGTGGTATTTTCCAATCTGAAGAATTTTTCAGAGAGCCAGATACATTCTTGCCAAAGCTGTTGATCTGGTTTTCCTTTTCTTTTTGTTCAAAGTATTCAAGGAAAGATGGTTTTGCGGGTTGCATGGTCTCATCTCTTCCTGAAAACCAAGAAAAACAAAAGGTGAAAAGGAATACAGATATCCAGCTGTGGTCAGGGTGCCCACACGGCTATAGTCGCCAGGTCAATTCTTTCTGTGGGATAAAGATCTCTTACCCAAAGTCTCTAATGAAGCTTAAGAAAAACACACAGACTGTCACTCAAAATACTTCTTATGGGAATACACAGATTCTGAGATCCCCTGTAACATATGTAAATGTCTTCCCAGAGTCCTTATTTCTAAACAGAAAGATTTGAGTACTTCAATGATTCTGAGAAAGCCTCAATAATAACTATATTATTGTTATTCTTTTTAGTATTATTGGCTTCCTATAGTAAATAATTCTTGAAATATTTAGGCTAAAAATATTTGAGAAGCAAACAAAAATACTTGTGTCCATCATATTCACTATTCTCATATTCACTATTGTAGCACACAGAGGATGACTCGGGAGGCTACTGCTCCTTAATAAGCTCATGTTCTAGTCAAAAGGAGACAAATATGCTTGAAAATAAAAGTTAAGAAGAGTCCTTCCATTATGATATATTGCATAAGATTCTTCTGGTGCTGAAGCTCAAAACCAAAGCCTTGTACATACCAGGCCAAGTGTTTCTATTTGTTTGTTTGTTCGTTTGAAGCAGGGTCTCATTTTGTAACCATTTGTCTATTTATTTATTCATTTACTTTGTTTATTTGAGGCAGGGTCTCACTTTGTAGCCCTGACTGGCCTGGAATTCACTATGTAGACCAGGCTGGCCCCAAACTCAACTCAGAGATTCTCTGGCCTCTGCCTTCCAAGAGCTTGGATTAAAGGCATGTACCACCATGCCTGGCTCACAAACAACTTAAAATACTACTTATGGATGATTTGTGTAGAATACTATATCATATGCACAGCATGAACTACACTCAGTAAAATCATATAACAGGAGGGGGGAAAAAACTAAACTTGTCAGACATTTGTCCTTTCTCATCATCAGCCATTCCAGGCAATCTCAGGCTTGCCTGCTACTAGGTACTAGCCACTGCTTACTATGTTGCTACCTCCTTCATATGGGGGAGTCGATATAGGGTTTGCTAAGACCTGCCAATCACACAAGAAGAACATGATGTACTGTTTTGTAGTGAGATATCCACCCCGCCCGCATCTGTTGCACTGACCACGCCCATTGGGGCATGGGGACAGGGGCAGGCATGACCTGGGGGAACTAGGTCTGGGGTCTGGGGCCCCAGCTCACAATCTTACTTCCTGGTCAGAGACAGAGAGCATCAGGAGGCATCCTTGGAACGGGAACCTGCAGCAGTTATCTGTTTCTAGTGTAAGCGATTTCCCCCGGAATATACATCCATCAGCCTATCGTTTCCCAGATTCTCATTTACCACGCTTTACTGTTTTATGTGTTCTGTATAAACACTAGATGTTTCTTATATTTGGTTTGTAGTTGCCAAGCTTCATTATTATTGCATACCAAAAAACTACAAGACCTGTAATAAAACAAACCTTGTGAAAATGTAACAATGGACTTACTGAGGAGACAGGAAGCCATATTCTGTGCTCAGTCCCTTCCTCTGGAAACTCTAGGGGAAGGACTGGCTCTAGGGCAGCTGCACACTGACCCTTGACCTAATCCTACACATGAAGAAGGAGTATCAGAAAACCTAGTGCCAACCAGCCTGGACACTGCTGAGCTGTCACAGTCAGAACATGGTAACCACACAAAATGCCCTAAGGTCACTGGGCAGCTGAAAAGACTAGAAAACCCAGAAAGTCCAAACCATTACAGAGCTGTTTGGGGAAATATGACATTGGATATATATCTCACACTTAAAACAACAAACTTCCAAATAGATAAACAATAACTACAAAAACAGAAACTATAAACTCTGGAGGAAAATGTAAGCTTTTAAAACCTAACAATATTTTTTTTTCAAATGTGGTATATTTTTAATGTTTAACTAAGTAGGTAGGAGAGAGAGAAAGAGGGAGAAGAGGGAGGGAGGGAGGAAGGGAGGGAGGAGGAACTGGGATCGATAAGTAAAATAAAAATAAAAAACTTATATTAAAAAAAAGAGGAGAACAAGAGGTGAGATTAGCAAAACAATATTTATATAAAATAGGCAATTCCATGTGTGGGAAGGAAGCAGCACAAATTTTAAAATCATTAAATGATGTAAAACACACACATTATAAGCCAAACTAAAAAACAAATTATGGGAAGATTTTGTTTGCAACAAATACCATAAAATGTCTTAAAGAACTTCTTTTTTAAAGCAAATTGAAGCCAGGTGAGTTTGAGGCCAGCTTGGTCTACAGAGTGAGTTCCAGGACAGTTAGGACTACACAGAGAAACCCTGTCTCGTGGAGGAAAAAAAAGGAAAGGAAAGAAAATTGTGAAGACACTTTGTGGATTTGGGGAGATAAGAAACCAATATGTAAACAATTTTTTTTAAACCAAGGGAGACCCTGAAAAGGGAGTAGACAGTGGACTTCAGACCAGTAGCACACACAAAGCTACCCAACTGCTCCTCACAAAGGTAAGACAAAATGCTTTGGTTCACTTAAATTAAAGCCCCATGAGGGACCACTTCTCAACACTTCAAGCGGCAAACCCTGAAACTACTAGTGCAGGCGTGGGTAAAAGGAGGGCCAGCCACTCCTACTGCAGCTGAACCGACTGTACCATGTTCAACCGCTGTCACCAGGACTGGCACTGACTAAGGATGAAACCAGGAACCAGAAGCAAACAGCAACAGCCTGGAGTGATGAGCCTCAACCAGAGCTTTTAAAATGAGTTTTTAAAAAAGATCTTGCGAAGCCCTTTTGACTCAAGGACACCAAAGCCATGGCACCCCAACACCACTGAGCACCCCCAGTACAAATCTGAGTTTTCAAAAAAAAAAAAAATATCCTCTACTGGAAAGAAGGATTTCTTAAGGGCAACAGCAAATCCCAAGACTAAGGAAGAAAAATCATGAAGTGAGCCTCCATCTTATTAGACAAGCAACTATTAAGCTAAATACAGAAACCAGTGCAGCTCACAACCCTCATCAGAGAAACTTGCTCTTAATAGTAGATGGTGATTGACCCAGGTTGGACAATGTACTGAATGAGACTTTGGAGCCCTCGGCCCAAATGGGATGCCTTTATCAGAGCTCCCCCGTCGAGGCTCAGGGATCCATGCAGGAGAGAAGACAGAAAGACTGTAAGACCCAGAGGTGATAGAGACTCAGAGATGAGGCATCTTCCAAACAGAACAGGGCTGGTGCACATATGACCAGAGACTGTGACAGCACACACAAGGCCTCACAGGTTCAAACCAGATGAGATACCAGCATGAAGAAGGGCAAGTGGGCACAAATGGACCACCCTAGCCAAGAAGCTATTTGCAATTGATAGTTGCTAGGAAAAGGAAAAATCTGCATTCTTCAGTGGAGTAATAACTGGTTCTACCAACCACACTCCAAGGCAGGCCTCATGCTCTGAAGTAGTTGGTCAACAAAAAAAATGGACTTGAATCTGTGTGTGTGTGTGTGTGTGTGTGTGTGTGTGTGTGTGTGTACAGAATGCTGTGAAATCCTCTTAGAAGCAACCAACAGCAACCACTGCCACTCCTTTTTGAAAAACATAGAATCTGGGTCCCTAATAACTAGCAAAATTCCATCTAGTTAAAGTGTCTGTAGCACGTCCCCTGCAACTTTACAAATGCTAATAAGGGGTGTAGCTTTTCATAGATGTTCACACACTTATGAAACTGGGCTATTTTTAAATCCTATATATTTCTATTAAGCCTCAGACCATGTGTATTTTGAGGTCTAATGAATTACTAATGCAATAAACTAAGACTACTCTAACCAATTACAGATTTACTTTTTGAAAACCAATGGGCATTTAAGAGGCACTCAGAGGAGAAGCTCCAATTGGAGGACGCTACCAACACCAAAACGAACACATTACGACATAATCTATATAGCGAATTCTGGGTCAAATGTGCTACAGTGACACTCTGTCTCAAAATAAATAAATTAATTAAGTGCAATGTAAAATAAATACATAAAATTTAAGTCAGGGATATTACTCAAAATACTTTTGTGGCTTAATTCTAAATCAGTCCATAAAAAAAAAAAAAATCAAAAGGATGTCTCCTAGGAGAATATAACATGTCTATTTCTACCACCATCTATTTTTTAGATGAAAAAGTGGCAACATTTGCTTTCCTCATGTTTCAATTCTTTACTTGACAACAGCCCTTCACAACCCCCTTAAAGATTCCTAATATTTTCAAAGCTAACACAACTATTCTTTGTCTCTTTCAACAACTTAGAATCATAAATAAGAAATTCTATCAATGTCTTTGCTTTCACCTTGTGCTAATGTCAGAGACCTCATTATTCCTGACAGGAATTAGAATTCAGAGACACCCCCCCCAAAACTATGCTTTAGGATTAGATAACTTTTTTTAACTTAATCACATTTTCAGACATAAATAAGCTGGGATTTAAAGTCATACTTTTCTTAGGAATTTAATTATAGCTAAACAATCAACTAAAGGTTATACCCCAAGCTATCAAAAAGGTCAGATGATTTCAAGGTTATTTTTGTGGGGGAGGATCATCTTGGGGTATCCCAGGGCCTTGTGTGTGCCAGGCAAGCAGTCTATCAACTGAGGTATATTATATCCCTAGCCCCAAAGATAACTTTGGAAATATCACAACGGACTAATTCCTAGCCTGGGGTTTTATATTGTACACATTTTACCATGATTTTCTTTCTTTCTTTTTTTTAATTGAAAGAGATAGTCCCTATACCAGAAGGTACAATGATTTAAACTTCTGGTCCTGACTATATACATCGGCTGCAGAGACTTTCAAAATCTTCTGTATTTCACTTCAATGCTAATAAATTTCAGAGCTTCTCAATAATAAAATACCACATGGAGGGCACTAGTCAGCAGCTGTCTTAGCTGAGGCCTTCACACAAGCCAGCCGAGCTGCTACTGTAC